GTTTTTTTTTTCCAAATAGAATCCTTCGAGAATTAGAAACTAGAAATATAATTTTAATTCAACAAATGAGTCAGAAGAATTCTATTGGCAAATATACAGATGATGTAATACGTAATATATTAGGCTGTGTGTAACATATATATTTATAGTAAAGAACAAAAATATAGAGTTTAATCCAAACGTCAAGAACTAAAACCAGCAATCGCTACTCATGACCTGGTGCTAGGTTTGTGATAAAATGTTAATAAATACAACAATATATCACATGAGAATCTCCCCCCACGAACCGACTTCTTGAATTTGGGATTCTTGATCGACAAGAAGAGGATGGATTCAGAAACTTCCCTTGCTAACGTCGCCTCACAGTTGAGCTGCAGGTGATGGACGCACTGAACCAGGACATGAATTCAATAACTCCCTTCGTTTTTCTCCTATTTTTCCTCTCCCATTACTTTCCGTCACCCATAAGCCTTCAAGAATATTACAATCTCAATGTTCGCGCCTCTCAGTTCCTCATTCAGCTGCAGAAGGGTAATTCTTGAATCTTGAACCCCAATATCATGGTTGATTGATTCCTTTTCCTTTAATTTCTTAAAATCTAATTGACCTTTTTACCTCCTACTCATTCAGATAATGAAGAAATTCTTCGGTACAAACCATCGGAGATAGCGGCAGCTGCACTCTTCTGTTCTGCCAAGCAAATGTTCCCGCTCGAATTTGATGACTTCGTACATGCCGTTGAAATCTCTTGCTTAATGAATCAGGTAGTAATTATAATTATGTAAATGCCCATTTTATCTGTTTCCATTCAATTTTGTTGATTTGCTCTCCTTATTAGCTTTTCACAATTCCTCTTTTTCTGTTCAGGTTGTGTTTTTATGGGTTCTCACCCCCCCCCCCTTTTTACCTTCAATATTAGTCTCTTAAAATTGGTGTTTCAAATCATTAAAAGTTATAAAATTGAATGGAAACAGATAAAATCGTGAGAAATGGGCATTTACATAATTATAATTACTACCTGATTCATTAAGCAAGAGATTTCAACGGCATGTACGAAGTCATCAAATTTGAGCGGGAACATTTGCTTGGCAGAACAAAAGAGTGCAGCTGCCGCTATCTCTGATGGTTTGCACCGAAGAATTTCTTCATTATTTGAATGAGGAGGTAAAAAGGTCAATTAGATTTCAAGAAATTAAAGGAAAAGGAATCAATCAACTATGATATTGGGGTTCTAGATTCAAGAATTACCCTTTTGCAGCTGAATGAGGAACTGAGAGGCGCGAACATTGAGATTGTAATATTCTTGAAGGCTTATGGGTGAAGGAAAGTAACGAGAGAGGAAAAATAGGAGAAAAGCGAAGGGAGTTATCGAATTCATGTCCTGGTTCAGGGCGTCCATCACCTGCAGCTCAACCGTGAGGCGATGATAGCGAGGGAAGTTTTTGGATCCATCCTCTTCCTGTCGATCAAGAATCCCAAATTCAAGAAGTCGGTTCATGGGTGGAGATTCTCATGTGATATATTGTTGTATTTATTAGTATTTTATCACAAACCTAGCACCAGGTCATGAGTAGTGATTGCTGGTTTTAGTTCTTGACGTTTGGATTAAACTATATTTTTTTGTTCCTTACTGTAAATATATATGTTACACAGAACCTAATATATTATATATTATATCATATGTATATTTGCCAATAGAATTCTTCTAACTCATTTGTTGAATAAAAATTCTATTTCTACTTTCTAATTCTCGAAAGATTCTATTTGGGGAAAAAAACTCCTAGAAATTTTGCAAAAAATCCTCAAAAAGTTATACCCCCCCACCCAAAAAAAAGTTTGCAAAAATACTCAAAAAGTCTGCAAAAGGCCCCCAAAATGTTTGCAAACAACCCCAAAAAAGTTTGCAAAAAACCCCCAAAATTTGGAAAAAGCCACCAATAGTTTACAAAAAAAAACCCTAAAAGTTAACAAAAAACACCCCAAAAATATTATATATATAGCTAGTATAGTTAAATGGACAAATAGGTGACCCATTTATTAAATGGGTGGGCAAAAACCCGTCCATTTAGAAAATATTAAATGAGCCATAAATGGATAAATGAGCAAAACATGTCTACCCATTTATAGCCCGCTCATTTAATACCCAAGCCCACTCATTTAACACCCCTACCTCAGAGTAGTCATCTTCATTTTGCTGCTCATTCTAGGTGTTTGGATTTTATAAGGGAATTCTCTGTTGGGAAAGCTGATCGGCTTCAAAGACATTTAGCAGAGTAAGCATCAAACGGTTCATTCTCTTCTCGCTATTTTCATTGTTTTGCCAATTTATGGATAATATTGAATGTCTAATTTAGGTATTCTATAGTTGTATGCTATAACTAATTTAAGCTCTATGATCATTTGAACTATCTCGATCTTCTTCATTTCTGTTCATATATTTGTCTAGAGAGCCTAATTTATACGATGCTTTAAAATATTGACTCATTTTAATCCAAGGTCATTGATACGTTCTTTCCGCTACGCATGAGAATAATATATCCTTTTCAACAGTAGAGAAGAACATTTTAAAAGGGAACAATTTAAAGTCGACAATATTGAGCACATCAAGGCAGTAGTACCCTTAACAAGACTCTTTTGATGCACATAGTGTTGAGAGCCATCAAAAGCTAAGTGCAAAGTGTATATTTTTGGTCCATATATCCTTTTCAGAGACTCCAATAATTGATGTCAATTTTTCTAGCTCTCCAATTCTACAGTATTTTTAGTTGTGCATCAAAAACTCTCCACTACCTCATGCAAATGTTTCCTTCTTTGTATATATATCAAAATTTACATTTTTTTTCTCCTCTACGTGCATCTTTATCCAGCTCTTTAGTTTTTAAGAACTGTGCGGAGCAAGCACGTGGGCCCCTACTTAGAATCACTACATAAAAAAGCCCTACGTTTTTCTATTTGTGTTTATGTTGGATTGCTTTGCATGCACTTTTTCCTCTACATTTCGTTTAAGATGTTTATGTCTTAATTTTTATATATATTTTTTCTTCTTCTACTCGTTGATTTGTTGTTAGCGTATAATTCTTAACATATACTGTTGTTTCCCCTTCAGTAGTCCTTTTACTTAAATTGAATTGTTTAGTGAGGTGCATTAATTTTTATTCTGAGTTCCAATCTCTTGGAGGACGAACTACTCTGATGCTTAGTGTAGCCTTTGTTAGTATTTTTACCTCTTTCTTTCTATTTTTAATTTCTTATTTGGTGAAACAACTACATGAACCTTGAATGTGCTGAGGGGACAAACTCAAGCGGAAAAATGAGTTTTTTTTTCTGGAATCAGAGAGATAACTCATTTGGATCTATCTCTCTCATTCTAGAAAAATGGTTTACAAATTGGATGGCATCAAAATACAGTACTAGCACCTAGAGGATGAACTATTTTGAGTAACTTGTCTTTTATATCTTATTTGGAAGGCATTTATATGAAAATTCATTTTCTGCGGTTTAATTGAATTTGACGCCAGCAGAAGCAAGAAAAATGAGTTTTCCCCCCTTCTCGAATCAGAGATAGCTGAATTAGAATATGCAGTAGTAGAACTAGCTGTCGCAGGAGGGGGGGGGGGATTCTACCTTTTAGTAGAACTGTGCCGGCCCTAACCTACATCTCCACTGTAGATGAGATCTGACAATAGAAGAAGAAAAGATGAGTTCTTTTTTGCTTGAATCAAAGGAAGAGTTCTGATAGGAGCAGAAAAGATGAGTTCTTTTTTGTTGGGATGAGAAGAAGAAATTTGGCAGGAGCTGACCTTTGTTCTTTCACATGCGGTGCGAATTCCATGCCGGCAGCTGCAATTGTGTAGATAAATGAGAGGAAGAAAATGGGAAAGAAGAGTAGGGAAGGATTGAATGCGGAAGAGGTAGGGATAGGGTTGTTATCGGAACGGATACGGTTCGGATACGACAGTTACCATATTCATATCCGCTTTTTATAAACGGATACGGATCAATCTCGATAAGAAAAAACTTTAACCATATCCGCACTTATCGGAAACGGATACGAATCGGACATTTGAGAATCGGATCGGATATGATCACGGATATAAACGGATTTTCACATATAATTAGAATTACAACCAAATAGGTAAATGTATGTAGTTGTAGGCTTCTCCTTAATTCACATATAATTAGAATTACTAAAATTGAGCACAAATATATTAGACATATAATCTTCATCCAAAACCTTCAGCAGCACAACCCATGACACAAACATTTCACAAGACAACCATGACACAACACTTCACAAGAGGACTAAAGTTCAGACAACCATGACACAATAAGTTCAGACAACCAGCTAAAACAATCAAGAACAAGATAATAAGTTCAGACAACCAGCTAAAACAACAGTTCAAACTGTCTTAAAAAGTCCTCAATTTGAATGAGCAAACTGTCTTAAAAAGAAGCCATGGAAATAATCTGATCACGCACTTGTTTTTTAGACCTCATTTGATTATTCAAGTAATGACCACGGAATTTGCTAGTTTCCTTCTATTACCACATGTTTTCCAATTATGTATAGAAATCATCTCAATAAGTATCCCACATATTTTCTTCAGTCATTGTTTTCCGATTATGTATAGAAATCATCTCAATAAGTATCCCACATATTTTCTTCAGAGTCATTGATTTTTAGAGAACGCAAGGTTGATAGGACTTATATCATCAAATCTTTTGCTAAGACTTTAACCCACCCCCTCAAAGAAATAACTAAACTAATTCTCAGTACTATCATCAGCAAAAAATAAGAAGCTATCTACCAAATTAAACTCGAACGTCAGTCGTCAGTCCAAAATACGAAGCGGGAATCAAACAGATTGTTAATGACAACCAGAACCCATTAGTTAATCCAATCAAAGAAACAGAATACGACCCAATTTGATCAATCAAATTCAGACAGAAGAAAAAAAATTGAAATAAAGCTGGCAACTTTGGCTACTACAGTTAATTACCTGTGCCTAAAAGAGCATCTCCTAGCGAGTCTCCCTCGATGATTCTGTTCCTCCTGCTGCATCATCCATCAAGAACCAGTACGAAGATTAATTTCAACCCTCAAAGCTTAAAACCCTCGCTTTTGATTTGGCTCTCGCTCGGAGCTAAGAACGAGAAAGGAGAATAAATGAAGAGCTCACCTTCTTCTATCATTTTGGGCCGGCGATGGTTATGGTTTAGATCCGACCCATTTGACAGCGAGGATGACGGCGCCTGGACGAGGATGATGACGCCTAGACGAAGACGACGAAGACGAGGATCTGACGAATTTGACGAATTTGATGAGGATCTGACGAATTTGACGAGGATCTGACGAGGCTGGAAAATTTAGTGGGGGCTGGAGGCGGAATGGAATGGGAGCTGGAGAGGCGCTACTCGCTAGGGTTACAACTTACAAACGGGTTTGGGTTAGCGGTTATAGGTTGTAAACTTGTAATTGTAACTTTAGGGCCCGAATCATTATTACATTTGCGGATATCCGTATCCGCAACTCTCGTATCCGTTTCCGAATCCGTATCCGAAAAATAATCCGAAACCATATCCGTATATGTTACCGTATCCGTCCGGTTTTAAAATTTGCTTACCATATCCGCATCCGTTCGGATACAGATGCGGATCGGTTCGAATATATTCGAACCGTTTGGCACCCCTAGGTATGGAGGGGCCATGTCACCTTTATTTTTTGTAAACCCAGCCATAACTCCAACCACACCCTCTCTCTCATTTGTTACAGTGCACCGGCCCTCACATAAAAATTTTAAATTTTAAACCCCCACGTGGGGCCCGGTGCACTGTAGCAATGAGAGAAAGGATGTGGTGGGAGTTGTGGTTGGGGTGTGCGCTTAGTGCCACTCTTTTTTTTTCCTCATGGGTTGAGGCAGACAGCTGCTGAAGACTCCGCTGAAGCGAGCAGCTCAGGACGAAAGAAGCAGGCAGCACATGGCGAAAGAAGCAAGCACCCCAGGGGAGCCCCAAGGCTTTTTTTATATAAGTTAAACCAGTGCGCACCTTGCAAAAGCTTCCGTTTTTTTTATTTTTGTTATAGTAATTCTGTATTTAAATACAGTTTTTGTAAGTGCTACAATAACATTTTTTAAATGCTACAATAAATCTACAGTAATAATAACACAATACTGCTACAATGATGCAATAAAAAAATTTACTATAACATTTACTGTAACATTAATAGTGAATCATGGATCCTCCCATTATTATAGAGGAATAGATGATTTGCTCCTCTTATACTTCATTTGGTATGCGGGAACGAGTGAGAATGAAATGCAATTCCAACTATTTATTCATGCCTACCAAACATGAGCCATCTTTAGATGCTAGAATTGTTATTCCCATTTTTTTTTATCAATTCTCACTTTATGTGAGAATTGTCATTCTCAACCATTTAACAAGGAATCGATATTCCCACTTAAGTGGGAATCAAAATAATCAAATAATTTCTGATAATACCCTCCTTAAAAGATACAAATAGATATAAATTCTCGTATGAAAAAATATTTTATAAAAAACATTATTAGCTACTCGTACAAATATATAAATAGATATAAAATATTAAAATACTTGTTCGACCTTGCCCTAGTTCCACATCGCGTCTGTAGAAGAAAAAAATCTCGTCTTCACCTCGATGCCACTCGGTAAGATAACCATTGCTTCTTTTTTAAATTTTATATGTGTGGCTGATTTTTACCTAATCTTTACAAGAATTTTTAATTTTTTGGCCACTCGGTTGGGTAATCTATTGGCAATTAGGCTAGCTAATATTTAATCTTTGGTGTTAGGTGTTAGGTGTTAGATTACTTGGAAACAATTCTTCAATTTTGTTGATAGAGCATCTCTAGCTAATTATTGAATGAATAGCAAAATTTTTAATAAATCTCCTTTTAAGACAACTTCATAAGTTCCAAATGCGCAAAACATGTTCACGAGACAAACAATTTTTCAATTCTCTCTATAAACCATCCCTAGCTAATTATTAAATGATTAGCAAAAAGTTGAACAAAATCCTCTTAAGAAATGGTTACCGCAAGCTTATTTCAATAACTAATAAAATATAATGTTTAGCAATTAATAAGAGAGTGAAAAAAATCATTTTTATAAAACTATTTTTTCTCAAAAAATGAATGATTTAGTAATTTTTAAAATAGTTTAATATTTTTAAAATTTTGTGTTTTGGTAAGGGCATTATTAGAAAACTAAATTTTATTCTCACTTATGAATAAATGATACCAAACGCGGGAATGAGAATAAGTTTGTTATTGTCGTTTCATTCTCTAAACGCGCCCAAAGATGAGAATGAGAATTGACATTCCATTCTCACGTCTATATCATTCCATTCTCACTTTCTTTCCATTCTCATTTGATTCAATTCACGCGTACCAGACGAGACGTCAGAGTCATTGCGGTGAAGCCCACAAGACATTTTTTCTCCAATATTAATCCAAGCCATCCAAACGCACCAGACATCAAATCTCAACCGTTGATCTTAAGCGCTCGGGCTTTACTGAGGGGATACGCGATTTCGCCCGAGAACCAACGGGCCGAGCTCGTCTCCCGCGCGTAATGTTCTCTGTTCTCGCCAGGACCCCCTCGTCATCATGGATTTCTTTAACAACCTCTTCAGATCCTGCAACTCTCTTTGCTGTACAAAATCTCTGCACTCTCTCCTCATAGTCTCCAATCAAATCCGCGACATTTTCTTCTCAACGAAGCTCATCAACCTCTACTCTCGCTTCAACGACCTCCCTTCTTCAATCCTCACCTTCTCTCAAACGCCCAACAAGAACACGGTCGCTTTCAACTGCCTTATCTCCTCTTTCGCCACCCACAACCTCCAGCCTGAGGCTCTCCATTGCTTTCGGCAGCTCATGGCTTGTCCCGAACTTCGACCCGACCGCTTCACGTTTCCCGCTGCCCTCAAGTCTTGTTCGAGTTCCGGTCATCTGAGCTCGATGCATTCTTTGCTGCCCAAAATGGCATTTGATAAGGATCTTTATATTTGTGCCTCGTTGATCCATATGTACTCGAGATTTGGGCTGATGGGTTATGCACAGAAGAAGTTTGATGAAATGCCCATGAGAGATTCGGGTTGCTGGAATGCGATTCTTTCTGGGTATTGTCAGAATGGGGAAGCAAATGAGGTTGTTCGAGTGTTTGATGAGATGGTGAGAGAGGGGGTTGAGATTGATACCGTCACGGTGGCGAGCATTCTTCCGGTTTGTGCACCATTGGATGATGCTTTGATGGGTGTTTTGGTTCATGGGTTTGCTACCAAATGCGGGCTGGACACGGATCTTTTCGTGTTGAATGCTTTAATTGATATGTATGGAAAGTTGGGGCTTTTGGAGGATGCTAGGAATGTGTTTGATGCAATGGGAAGAAAGGATTTAGTCACTTGGAATTCCATGATTTCTGCTTATGAGCAAGGGGCTTACCCAAAGATAGCTCTTAGCCTCTTTGATAGGATGCAAAGATGCGGATTTCAGCCAGACATGTTGACTCTTGTGAGTCTAGCTTCAGCCGTTGCCCAACTTGGGGATGGTATCAATAGTCGATCAGTTCATTGCTATGTCTTTAGAAGAGGATGGGATTCTAGTAATGTCTTTGTTGGCAATGCCATCATCGATATGTATGGAAAAGTTGGCGATGTAGAATATGCACGGAGAGTTTTTGATTGGATGCCTGTGAAAGATGTGATTTCCTGGAATTCTTTGATCACGGGATGTTCCCAAAATGGCTTTTCTAATGAGGCAACCGAGATATATGAGGCTATGGAGAAGAGTGAAGGAGTTACGCCGAGTCAGGGTACATTCGTCAGTGTTCTTCCTGCATGCTCTCATGTGGGGGCCTTGAGGAAAGGTATGAAAATTCATGGGAGATCGATCCAAATTGGATTGGAATTGGATGTATTTGTGGGCACTTGTCTTATAGATATGTATGCAAAATGTGGGAGGTTAGATGAAGCAATGCTTTTATTTGCGAAAGTACCAAGAAGGACCTCATATCCATGGAACGCCATTATATCGGGCCTTGGAGTTCATGGACATGGTGATAAAGCCCTAGAGCTGTTTGAAGAAATGCAACAAGAGGGAGTTAAGCCGGACAATGTGACCTTCATTTCATTACTCTCTGCGTGTAGTCATTCAGGATTAGTTGATCATGCTCGCCATTACTTTGGACTAATGAAGTCAGGCTATGGAATCGAGCCGTCAGTGAAGCATTATGCCTGCATGGTTGACTTGCTTGGTCGAGCTGGCCACTTGAACGATGCTTATGAATTCATCAAGAATATGCCTCTAAGACCTGATGCCGGTGTTTGGGGTGCTCTTCTTGGTGCCTGTAGGATACATGGGAATGTTGAATTGGGGGATATAGCTTCCAACCGCCTATTTGAGGTTGATCCTGAAAATGTTGGGTATTATGTTCTCTTGTCTAATATGCATGCAAAATCTAGGAATTGGGAGGGAGTTGGTGAAGTGAGGTCCTTAGCGAAAAATAGACAATTGATGAAGACTCCTGGATGGAGTTCAATAGAGGTAGACAACAAGATGAATGTATTTTTTATGGGGAACCAGTCACACCCGAGATTTGAAGATATATACAAAGAGATGGTAAACTTGTTAGCAAAAATGAAGAGCATCGGTTATGTTCCTGACTACAATTATGTGTTGCAGGATGTGGAGGATGATGAAAAGGAGCATATTTTAACAATGCATAGTGAAAGGCTTGCGATAGCATTTGGTATTATAAGTACATTGCCAAAAACGACTATTCACATTTTCAAAAACTTGCGTGTTTGTGGGGACTGTCATACTGCTACAAAATTCATATCAAGGATTACTGAGAGAGAAATAATTGTGAGAGATTATAACCGGTTCCATCATTTTAAAGGAGGGAGTTGCTCTTGTGGAGACTATTGGTAGTCCTATTCTTCATTCCTCACCACATAAAATCAAGTGAGGTTAGATATTGACTCTATTGACTTCGGAGGTACAGGATGAAGAACTTCGGAGAACAAGTAACTTTTCCCCCTAATTTGTAAACTATGCATGTGTGAGTTTAATATTTATTGATTTTCTTCTATATTTCTTTATTAAATTCTTTCATTGATTTATAAAATAATAAAATAAACTATATTCTCAGTTGCATGAACTCGAATGGATACTTGAGAATGTCATGCTATGCTATAATTTCGTTTGTTTTTTTAATAATATTTCTAATGTTAGTCTGCCTCATCACAGATTTGTGTTATTATTGGATAATCATTCTTTTTCACTCCATAGATTTAGCTTGTTCCCTTACAGTCATAGGTAATCTTACTCACTTCTTGCCTTTTTAGGACTTCCCTTCATGGGTATTAGCTGATAAGAATTTTTAAGCTTGTATCCAACTAATAGTTCACATCTGCTTTTCCCTTTTTCATGAAGAGTAAGCTGGAGAAATTCTGATTATGGTGACAAACTGGCTTGGACTGTAGAATATCTGTCACAAACAAAAACTACAAATGCATAACTACTGTAAGTTTCTAAGTTATCTCTTTGGTGAACTGAGCTAGTTATTGTTAGGCTATAGCATTAGAGCTGTGTTGCCACTTATTATGAAGTTCCTTGTTTGGTTTCTTGCTAATGGTACAAGATTCTTCAATGGAAATTTGTCTAAGCTTCCTAGTTTATAATTAATTTCTAATATATGGACAAAGGGCAATGATCATCTGAGGTAAAAGAATCCACTAGAAGTCTGTCTGCAACAATGAAAGTATGAAACTACAGGGGATCAACTATCCACAATTGGGCAATAGTTAGGGGGGGTGGGTGTTATCCGACATTTTGTTACCAAATACACACAACAGATTTCATATTTTGGACTTGATGAGAAGTGTTCAAATT